TGTTTTTTCACCGAGGGTATTAGTTACTGAATGCAGCACACCAACTACACAATTTCCAGTCAGGCTTGGGGTAATTATACCTTCTGTAATCCACAGTCCACAGCTGATAAATTAGTGTGCTTTTCACAAAGGAGGAATACTCATGTCACAGTCAGTAATGCAAAGCAAAAAATCCAGGAAACAAATCATAAGAAAAAAGTATTCAACAAAATAATATAAGGACAAATGAGCCATGCAGTGAAACAAACAGAATTAAGAGAGAACACTTTCAATCCCATCAGGCTTCATGTAACTTTAAAGAAAGCAAACCCCATGCTGCAAAGCCACAAAGGCCAATATTTTACACTTCTGTGTACGTGCATCAACAGGGGTTTGCAAAAATCAAGGACAGAGTGTGACTGACTAGTAATTTTTTTAATGACTTAACTAACTTACACTACCTTTTATGCTTGAGCAGGTAATAGTCACACTGAGGTTTAAGGAAACACTTCATGTGAGAAAGAATGCCTTGCACAAGAAAGACCTGTAGAATCAATCCCAAGCTATTACATTCTAGTTTTAGCCAAAGCCCAACCTTTGATATGAAATACCAAATGGAAAATCTGAGTTATAGTTATTGATAACATTACCATAAGGTACTTAAAACACTCTTGTAGATTAAAGGTGGTTGTGTCATTATCCAGTATCTTTAGGCACACATAGGCTCTCCATTTCTTCTAGATAATTCCACTTACTTCTGACTTCATTCACGCTGTATATATAGTAAATCATCTGCATTAGAAACATTCCATATTTATTTAGTATTTAATCTAAGTAAGTTTTAGCAATATAAAACAAGCGTGAGAAAAGAACCAAGCTCTTGTATTCTCTAAACAAGATTGAAAGGAAGAGCTCATGCATTAACACTTTGAAAGAAACACTAAATTTATGGTTTCATTTGATTGACAGTCATTCCAAAGTCAGGCCCCTCTGATTTTAAGTGCACTGCACAGAACAGTATAGCACAGATGTAGTTAAATAGGCATCAGCTTAGCTAGGTTCATCCTTAATATCCCAATTCAGCAGGGTGCTGAGTCAATTCACATCCACTCAAATCAATGCTCATTCTGCTATATGCTGAGGACTTTCACACTACTGATAAGTTAGTCAGATCTGCTGCTGCTCTAAGGGAGCTGTTACAGGTCCAGCAACTTCAATTAGAAAACCAAATGATGACTTTTTTACTTCCCAGAAGGTGAAAGACAAGACTTTTCTGGAGAAAAACAGATGTACCATCACCCTGCTCTGGAGAAGATCTATTCTGCTTCAGACCTCTTTGGAATAAAGTTTCAAAGTATTTTTTTGTTCTGGTTTAGCTTCACTGTGCATTAGTAAAATAGCGTTTTTAAAGGGTAGCTTTCACAAAATAGTGGTTACACAATAAGTATAAATAAATGCCTGGCTGAAAGGCTCAGATATTACTGTGAATTAAATAATGCCATACTCCTGCAACACTCTGTGGACTGGGGACCAGGCTTTGGGACTTTTCTGAGATGCAGAATATTTGTCTGACTGAGATGAGGCCACATATCTGCACATACTAAAAGTAAAAAAAAAAATTCATTGTAAAGTAAGCCTGTATTGTGCAACAGTACTTGACCATAATATTCCTTTTTTACTAGGCAACTATAATTTCTTGCCATACATCCTTATTTCTCGCTTCTATTTATTGTCACAGTTATTTTACAATTATTTATGATAAAATACCTGCTGCTTATACACTCTCACCTTGTTATGTCACCTTGCTGTGAGTGAAGTCAATGGCGAACCTTTGTTGACCTTGAAAGGAGCAGGATTTGTCCTAAAATGCCTAATCCAAAGTGGACTCACCCTTAATTCAGTAAGCTTTGAATCAGACCTAGAAGGGATCTTAGTAGAATCGAGGAGTGACAAGACATAGCCACATATCAAAACCACATCCGAGCATTTATCTCACATTCCTAATCTTTTATATGAAAGGGATTAAAAACAAGCTGTTTCCATCAACTGCTACACAAGATATGAATGATTGAACAGACATCTGCAGGATATCTATGCATATTGACATAGGCTCTTTCTACGGAAGTTTGAAATGGAGCGAACGTTTGAATTTGAAACTTCATAGTAATATTTCCTCAATTTGTTTTCAAGTACCCTTTGTCAAAGTTCCACCATCCTTTCTAGTCCAACAGCAGAGAGATAGTTCTGCCTCTTGTTTCAGGACAAACTAGCAACTCACCACATAATGGAACAAAAGGTAAGAAATCTGAAAGTGATATTACCCAAACACTTCAGTTAAAACCTTGCCACACAGCCTAATACAGTCTGTGATGGCTCCAGACTCTTTGGAAGTACATGCAACTGATTCTAGCATATCTTGTTTTACATGCAGCTCTGCTTGTTTGCTTATGTTCTCCAAGTCTGAATGCACTGAGACAGTTTTTTGCTGTCTCTTATACCATTCAGCCAAGTTTCTACAGATGTTCTTGAGATGCCATGGATGTATCTGACTATAATTTTGGCTCAAACATATATTTACAGACTGAGGGTCACTAAAAAGAGAAACCAGGTACATGTAATATGGTGATTTCCAGCTGTAGAATCACAGAAACCACATCAAATGGCATCAATTTAGACAGGAGGCAATTGAAACAATGAAAATCATTGTAACATGTATACAAATGCAATGTGAAACTCCCGGTAGCAAGAATACATAAAACTATAACATGCAATCAAACCAGCAGACAAGAAAAATGGGAAATAAAAAGGTAAAAAGTAAGCATTTAGATATCTTGGGAAATGAAAGAAATGGCCACTTGCATCTGCAAACCCTGGGGAGAAATCTGGCCTCAATGGCCAAAGGGGGATTTTCTTAAAAGCTCAGAGTTGGCCTAACTCCTTTCAATGACGGGGCACTGTTAAGTCATGAGAAAAGTTTGGTCAATGGCAAGCACTCATGCAAGTTTAACTGTGCTATATTTATACATTTATCCACAAAAAAAAAAAAGAAAGAATGAATGTGAGTCACAGGCAAAGAACCTAAGAACCAGTATTTCAGTTTTGCCCTTTTCATCTGGTCCGTCTTACTGTGTTGACTACTAGCTAGTCTTAGGGAAACACTAATTAAGCATGTATCTCAAGCCCTCTAGGTAATTGGCTTCTTTTCTATGGTAAAAAAAAAAAAACAAACAAGAGATAAAAGATACCACAAGCTAACACTTGAGTTTTCTCTCCCCTCAAATCTGCCTGCCAGGTATAGTGTGGGAGGTAACTAAGGCAGCGCCTACAGCAGGGATATCTCCCAGCTCACCCACAGCATGTCCCAGCCACATGGCTCCACAAGGAGTTCCTCCCGCATCCAGGAGGAGGAGAGGTCTGTTAGAGACCGCATCAGTGATGTTTAAGTTGTGCAGGACTGAGAAGCTGGTCCCTGACTCCTGCAGGCTGTGTAGCAGCTGTGTCACAGCAGTGCTGGGGCTGCTGATGGATGCTAGCTTGTACCAGAGGATCACGGTGTGTGACACGGCCTCCCTGAACCCTTTTTGGCACAACTTACGCCCATCTGCTTTCCCTCTGCTCCTTCTCCTGGAGAGGAACATATGGCCCAGAATATGTATCTCAGAAGCAGAAAATGTATTCATATAGTTTTTAAAATATTCTGAATACCTTCTTTTCTTTTTTCTCCTATAAGCTTTTATTCCAGTTCTGAACCTCATATCCTCGCATGACAAATATTTTTTTTCACAAAAGTCCTTGTTTAAACAGCAGCCCACAATGAAAAATATAGAATTAAAAAAAAAAAAAAAAGTGTATTTCACCTTGATTACAGAAGTTGCTATTGCAAGAGAAATCTTTGCCAGGATTCTGTTTTTTGTCCATTCCACCATGTTATTTTAATACTTACCTAAGTCCAAGAGGGTTGCATCCAAGAACAAATCAACAACAGAAGAAAATAATGCCACAGTTAAGCTTAACAACAAATATTTTCACTTTCAGTGGTTCAAACTGGAAACATACTTCCACAATTTACTTCACATTAAATAGTACATCACATCACAAATACAACAATGAAGTTCCTCAAGAAGCAAGAAAATCTTTCTTTTAAATAGCAGTACCAACATCTATGTGTGCAGCCCTGTGTCCCTAACAACGGTAAACTGCTCCACTGCATGAGTAAGACTTTTGCCAGCTTGCCTGTTTGAAGATAGCAATATTGGAACTAGGCTTCATCAGAATGTTTCCTCATTTCTGCCTGAAGTTATGCAAATTCTACATATATATATATGTATGCATGTATGTTTGTACATATATATGTATGTTTATAATAGATATTTTTATATACGTATACATTCATACATGTATATAAATACTATATATATTTATGTGTATACATATGCTTTTGTATTTTAGTAATTTTTTACAGAGCACTCCAATTCTTGATTGTAAACATACAGTATAAGAGAAAACATACTGCTGTTCTTGCCCAGTGTAAAAAAACATGCCAGACAGCAGCTGTTGACACTACTGTCTGATAACCTATCCAGCACACCTTAGAAGAAACTGGTACCAAACCTAAGCAATGCCTGTAATATGACAAGTAGCAATACTGAACCACATAGTTCTCATAACCAAATGCTTTTTTTTCTTTCTTTAACAAAAAAGTAGATAGTTTCCTTTAGCTGTATTTTCATTAAAGCATTTAATATACAGTCCATTAACAATCACACAGACGTTTCTGTCATAAGACAGCAAAAGTAAAGTGTAGCAGTTGCCTAAAATCAACTGAAGTCAGCAGGGTTCCTTCTGCAGATTTCAGTGGGTTTTAGGACAGATTTGGGTGTATTCACTTGCTGTTACGTAGACTTTTAGATTCCTCTTTTCTCGAATTATGTTAGTGAAAGTTGTTGAATCCTCCATGTCAGATACATGGGTCACAAAACCATTTTCTACTGTCTTTGCGTTAAGCCTACTGTTTATCCTACCTTTGCTGCCACAGATGAGTTGGGTTTTTCCAGCAAGTCCCAGAGCTTCTTCCTCTTCTCTGGGCAGCAGGTATTATCAAACTCTTCCCCTTCTCTCTCCCGCATTGTTTCGGCCTCTCTCCTCAGCTCCTCATTCATCTGCTCTTTCTTTTGATGGTACCTTGCCTGGCAGCAAGATTCTAAATATATCTCATCAATCCCCCAGTAATCAAGCTCCTGGCCAAAAGAAAGAGCACACATTTCTTCCATCATATGTAGTTTTCCTGTCCTGTAGAAATTCAAAATGGAAGTGAAAGCCCCTGGGTGTCGATCAAAAAAATATTCATTTTCATTTAGATTATAGTCATCACATACTTCTAGCAGAGATTCGTGAGTATTGCAGTCTCTGAGCTTTCCTAATCGTGTCCTTGGAAGTCTGTCCAAAGTCCTCCACAGCACTTCATGGTTGAGCCCACCAACGTTTATTTTAACTCTCCGCGAGCAGGCTTTGCTCCTAATGATCTCCACTGGTTCTGGAGGCAGAGAAAGGGTGGACCTTGAAGACTTTTTGTTGATCCCAGGTGGGGCCTTCTCAGCCATTCTGAAAAAGGTGTAGTTGTGACACCAGAGTCTTTAGGAGAATGAGCTTGGAGACTACAAGTATTTGGGCAGAGTCCTCTTCAGACAGACAGCTCCATCCCTGAAGCTAAAAAAGACAAAGAATCAGAATGTACAATATATTCCCCAATCTCTGTCTCTCTCCTTCCATGCTTTCATATGCAGATGAAAATTTAATGATGGTAATTTGCTCTCTGTGTAGTGAGACTCTTTTGTGGTACTATACAGAACCGCTGGAACAACTGGAACAGTTAAGAGCACTATGTTTAAGTAAAGGAAAAAATTCACTGGCATTTCCACATTCATAAAAAAATCAACCGTGACAGTTTGTACAGAGATCTTGTTCTTTTGTTGGTTTGTTTAATCAGTTTCTGATACAGCCATATTAGCTTAATCTGAATACTTACCAACTGGTTTGTGAGGTGTGCTAATGGAAACATTGAAGGGATAACCATAAGGGAAAAGTGAGACAGGGAAAACCTTTCCGTTCAATGAAAAACTCAAATTTGGGAGATACTGAAACTAAGTAAAACAATTAGAGCGTATCAAAATCTCCTGTGAAACTAAACTGCTTCCCTCTCTCCCCCAGCTCAAATCTTGATTTGCTGTATTATTTCATGGCTAAACATTACTCACCAAACAACTGAATTGCCATCCAGACAAGTTAAATTCTCTAGCACTAGACTGTGCTGATGTCTTTACAAATAGGTTAAAAGAATCCTGAATCTCTGAAGCCAACTGACTAGTAATACATGTTATATAGGCAAGGCCTGTGCATACCATTCCTTGGCTCCTCAGAAAGGCTCTTTGCACCCCACTTGTTCACCTGTTAAGTTGCTGCAGGGACAAGACTGCATGACAGGAATCAATAATCTCAGTTTTAATAATACAGAGGTGCATCCTCACTCATTGTGCCTAGTGCTTCAGTGAACTCTGAAGTGAAACTGTACATCACCACATTTGGAGCATCACTATCAAACAGGAAGGAAACCCACCTATTATTTCTACTAGAGTAAATAATTATCTGACACAGCGCTTAAACAATTGCCCAAAAAGGAAGAATGTTGAAAATGCTTAGAGAAGCTTATCTTCCAAGGTAGGAAAGTCCTCCTTAGTAATTTCCCTAAGTTGACATCTCCTCCTCCCATTCTCTCCAAATCAACAATACAACAGTTTGGGGGTTGTTTTTTTCTTGTTTTTTTCTTTTGTTTTGTTTGGTTTGGTGGAGGGATTTTTGTTTGCTTTTTGTGAAATAACTCCAGCTTAAAAAAGCATTTGATGTGAACAAGAATTTGATCCTCTTTGCAGAGTAAGCAGGAAGGTTGTGATGGAAGGGATTGTTAAATATAACACCAGGGAGGGAGAAGAGCCATTTGTACTAAAGGACCATGATGGTACAAGAATGAGTACAAACTCACCATGAAAAAAGGTGGAAATTTGAAAGGGAATTAGAAGGTCACAAAGACTAGATCCCTGTCAGAAAAGCGAGGATCTAGAATAATTACTAGAAGTATCAGGAAAAGCAAAGAATTATTTCAGCATGTCATCTAAAAGGCTTATGACAGTGTGAACTACATTTCTCGTGGAAAATTACTAAACCTCATTATATCTAAACCTTAGAGGTTCCTTCACCAACAGCTAACATAACAATAAGGCTCAGCCATGTATCATAGAAGTATTAACAGACATCCCTGTCCAAAAACATCAGAGAAAAGGAAAATTACCCATCAGAGTAATATTTACAGCTAGACTATTTATTTTTTTTATTGCTTGATTGATAACTCACTGCCTACTAACCCCTATGATGGCAACAGCCTGATAGAGCAGCATGTTAGCAGTTTCACTGTAAAGCTGAACCTACTTCAAAAAACACTAGAGCTAAAATATTCTGCCTTTTTCCACCCTGCCTCCAGCACTGCACTGTGAAGCTCCCTCCTGATCTCCCAGCGCAACCCAGAGCACCTCTGTGCCTATTTACATGAGGGTTTAAGCCTGTAACATTTACCTTCATTCATGAAAAAGATAAGCTGATAACTTCACTTGCAAAGATAAATGTCACATCAAAATCAAAGCCCGACATCAGTAGGTTTACATAACATATATTCCTTTCTGTTGTGTTTGGTTTGCATTTTGCTTTTTTTTGTCTTCAACTTAGGATGATTTTTTTCTCTGTTTTGACCCTCTTTCTCATTGCCTTTGATGGAAGGGTTGATGGGGGGGCTTCTGATAAAGGGGGGACTCAAATCTTTGCGAAGTCTCACTAAAGTGTCTCCTAGTGGCCTGTGATGCATTGATCAGTCTTCTGAGACAGAGACAACCACATAAACACTAAGTGGTTATGAGAGGATATTTCTCCACAGAGGAAGCATTTACAATCCTTTCTGAAAAAATCCCTTTAGATTTTAATGTACAATGATGTTTCTCCTTTAAAGGATGTCTTGCATAACAAACCCCAACAATTTAAGAAATTCGTAGAGAGGTTCTGTCATTCTCCATGAAATCAGACAAGTCTTCAGGCAGTTTCTACAGAGGTTCTCTAATTTATTCACCACTGAATCTCAGGGATGACTTCTTGTTTCGAATTAATACTTGTACCCTAATATTAGCAATACCGAGTAAAACACAGTAAAAATCAAGCACTCGATCTGATTAATCTTCAGTTACCCATATCCTCATTTGCTCTTCTGACTACAAAAACTAAAGATAGGCAAAACTATGCATTGGTTTAGCTTTTGTGCAGTGCAGTTACCACACAGATTTGCTAAACAATGTGAAATTATAGTGTCACCAAGACTGGTCTAAAGCTGATAAAACATTTTCTGATTTGTCAGTATAATTATTGGTTGCATCTTCCTACTTGAGGAGATGTGGCTTTTCTGAAAAGCTTTAAAAATCCTGGTTAACTGTGGTCATACTGAAGTCAGCAGTGAAAAAACACTAAGTTTAGTGTTGAGAAGACTGGATCCAAGGTGCTGTGTATGTACGTATGTAATAAGGGATGAACCAGCATTCACAACATGAATCTCTGAAAGATCAAGAGAAAAGAAAGCATTTTCCCAAATGAAGAATCTTAAAATGTGAGGGCTATTTTTGCCTTTTTTTCAGAGTTCCTTTCATTGAAATACATACAAGTAACAGACTACACAACTTAAAAAAAAAAACATAAAAATTATAAAAAAATCTTTGGTTTGCTCCCAAAGTGCCTTTCATCACACCTTGCTTTGTTTTCTGCTGATACTTTATATAAATTTCTTGCTGCACACCTTTTTCTCAAGCCTGGACTACAGAGCTTGAGTATTTGAGTATTCAGTAAATATAGAGTATTTAACCGTGCTTTTAACAAAAACATAATCAATAGCCTCTCCTTTAACCACTAAACATTTTTAACTTTATAATCCACTTTCACACAGATCTTTCTTTATAACAAAATGATGCAAGTGAGGTTACCTTTAAATTTCATTAAATAAGCTTTCTAGATTTTAGCTACTGCACTTAATCCAGGATACTGTAATTCTTGTCCTAAGAAGGGTTAAAATATTTTTCAGTTTAATTTATTGCCTTAATCTTTTGTCTGTGTGTAACTCCACCATGCACTTTGTCCACCATGGGCTTGTGAGAACTGTGACTATCCCTCAGCAGGCAAGCAGAGCCGGTCTGCTGCTCATCAGCACTGCTTAGCAATCAGTGGAGAAACACAAGTTCTAACCACAGATACATAAAAGCAACTCCAGACGAACCCTGTATTCTGTCCTTGCAACAATACAATTACTTTGTAGGCAAATACCTGTAATATTGAATAAAACTCTTCTGAATCAAAGCCAATTCTTTGCATTAAGTAAAAGTTAAAACTGCAAAGACTACTACTCAAAAAGCTAGGGAAAGCCAGAACAAAGGTTGTCTTCCCTCACACCGTATGTGTACAGCTTTTAATGGTAGTGATTCTCCCCATGACTTCTGCTTTGAGTGAAAGGGTAATTTTTTACCTTTTCCTCCTTCTCCTTCAGTATTTGGCCTCTGATGTTATTTAGCATGTCCTACTGCAAGCCCAACCCTGCACACAAAGTCCTGAATTTCCCTCAGGGAGCTCTCATTACCCTACCTGAATACTTCCAGGGCATCTCAAAGTTTCCCTTCTCAACGTCACTTGGAGGCTGTTACTACCATTTCTTTATAATGGAGAAATGAAGGTCACCGGTGCCTGAAGTATCCATTAGTTTTGGCTGCTTAAACTGAGATAGCTGTATGCAGAGTCCTTAGCATTTTTATCACGTTTGATGGGCATGCCTACATGAGCAGATTAAACCCTCGGGCAGGCGAACTCAGTTGCCTGTGCCATCATGCTGCCAGAGCATGGCACAGTTAGGACTCTCCTGAATCATTTGCAGGGATGGCTGGAGATTCACCATGCTCCAAGGTCTGCTCCTAATAAGTGGTTTGCACAGCCATCTGCTTTGGAGCCTAGGTGAGTTTAACCACACACACTGAGGTTACCATGCCAGCTGGCCTGTGCAGCACCAGCCCCTTCCATGGACTCATGCGCAAAACCTTGCTCCAGATAGATTCACATCCAAGCTATTTCTGCATGCCCTAGTCATAAACTGCCTTCCCAAACTTTGCCACAAAAGTTGCACCAAAGAAGGTGGAAATACTACGCTACATAAGCATGCTGCACTGTTGGATCATGTCCTCCTTGTGCATTTAAAGTGCTGTAAGTAAAGAAGTACATTGTTTATAAAAAAATGCTGTATCATAAGGAACAGGCCCCCAGGAAAGGGGAAAAAATCACTTTGTTCTGATTTTTAAGAGAAAAACTCATTTTTGTCAGAAGATGTCCTTTTGTCAAAACCTGTCAAATTGTTTGCAAGGCAAGACTGTATTAATTCATTTCTTTGCTTTGGAAAGAAATAAAGGAAGTCTTCAACATTTATGTTTATTTAATCTAGATTTCTGTTTATAAATGTAGTGACGTGCTGGGGGTTTTTAAGGTTAAGAAAACTCTGAATCAAAACAAGACATTTTGAAATTGAACAAAATTATTTGAGTGATTGAATTCAATGTTTTTTTTTTGTTTTATTCAGGTCTGGCAAT